ATTGCTTTCAGGGGAGGGATTATAAGCAGGAATAAAAATTGATTCACTCCCAGCATTATATACTTGCACCCCTACACTTAGTCCATAAACTGCTTCATATAATCTTTGTTCCTCTGCCTCATCTGAGGGATTCTGTCCAGAGCATTGATTCAGTGAAACACAATGAGCCATTTTACCCGAGTGAGGACAGTCTATTTTTAAGTGTTCTGTGCTTCCACAGATCCAACACTCCTTGGGGGGTCTGGTGCTGCTCCTTTTGTCACTTCTTTCAAAGAAGAGTTTCCCATGTAGTTTCCCTTGCATTGGACTGGTTTTTTCTGTTCTAACATTCTTAATTGCACTTTTATTTTAACTTCACTGACAAGGACTTGATGGGGATGAGCAGAGTTGGAGAAAAGTGAGGAAAGTCCCTGGGTCTCGAGTTCCAGTTCTTCTTTCTCAGCAATCATAATCCTAGGTCAGGAGGGATGGAATCTATCTCTATGTGTTTGGTTCCAAGCATTGATCAGAGCTTCCTGCAGGTTGTTGGCATGAGCTTGGAGGCTCATGATGTTGTTTATTGCTTGTCCTTGTATTAGGTATAGCCATTCCATAGATAGAGTAAGGATTAGCCTGCACATTTCCTCTTCTTGATCTTGGTAGAATCCATCTAGAAAATGATAGTGTTTGACCCTCCTCTGAATGTACTGTATAGGGGTCTCTTGATTGTGACTAGGTTGATGGAATCTCATCTCTTCCCATTCTAGAGATAAGGATTCCCACCAGTGAATCCCTAATACACCTTCAACAATGCTCCAGAAAAAGGACCTGTGGGATCAACTGAACTCAGTGTGATGCTCATGGTCTAGGGTGCTCCACCAAACCTTTGCATTCCCTTTGAGGCTTTGGGGGAGGGTGATCCCTAACAGCATAGTCATAGATTCGGAAATCTCAGACAAACTCATGATGTCCATAATATAATAAAAGGCCTTTGATTGCAATCCATCATATTTGGGGAGGTCTGACCATTTGATCTTAAGATTGTTGGTGTTCAGAATCAGTGGTTTGGTGCTCATGTCAGAAGCATGGATCTTAGGATTTCCACCTGCAGCTCTGGAGACTCATGGAGTCTTAGGAGTTCATCCTTCCTTTCCTCAATTACCTCTAGAGTCTGTATTGCTAGAGCTGTCAGACAAACTGTCAGGTGGTCCACCCAAAGAAAGGAATGGGTTTGATTGAATGGGTGGGGGCTGCTGGGCACTGCTTGGGTATAGCGAACCTATTCCTGGTACTCTCCCTGTAATCCCTTCAATGAAAGTAGTTGCAAATGACAAGCAGTTCCGATTGCTGGTAGTCCTTACAGGGGTATTGAGTGGGTTAATGACAGTGAAGTGGGATACTGCTTTGGGTCCAAACATGACTTGTTGACAGGGGGTTTCTGGCTCATTAAGCCCTTGCATTCTATCCACAATTCTTTGTTCAGAATTGTCTGTTTCTGGCCCACAAGAGAGTAGAGGATGAGGAAATTTAAGTGTGGGAGGGTTTGACCTTTCTTAAAACTGTTCTAGTATCTCTTCCTTCATGTCTTGAGGAAAAATCTCCAGGATGTATTCTCAATTAAGTGAGTGGAGAAAACTAGTGATGGGGGATCCTTGGAGGTCTCAGATGAAGGATTCTGACATGTGAGCTGGAGATGGGGGAACTTCCATATGGTCATCATACAAGTGGAGAATTTCCATGAATAACCTCTCTTGCTTGTCATGACAACAGATGAGCCTGTGGCATGAACTGTGATAGGCAAGTGAAAGGTTCAGAGAAGATTCACACAAGGCTCTTTCTAGCATCTGAGCATAGAGGTAGTGGTAGTTGACCTTAGGTACCAATCCACACTTATTCTGGATCACATATAGGATTTGCAGGGTATCATCATGCATGGCCACTAGACTAATTACTTTTTCAAATAGTTCCTTCTTAATGCATTTGAAGCCCCTGACTTCAGAGGTAACAGTCTCCTCAGACCATTCAGGAAGTCATTCTGAGAGTTGGTCAAGTGTCCCAGTTTGGGGAAACAATGAATCCATTGCCACTATGTTGGAAAATCAGCCTAGCCAGATGGACACCTCTTTTGACATATTGGTAATCCTCAGTGACAGAAGTGACTTCATCACCATTGATCTCTTTGGAATAGAATGAACTCCATTTGTATTTGTGGATTAGTGTAGTGAATTTGGTTCTTATAAGCTTTTTGTAAAATGACCTGTCACAGCAGAAATGAAAGAGCAGAGCTTTCATCTGTTTCATGAAAGGTGTGATTTCCAAGACCACTCAGTGGTTTAAAATAAGGTCTGTGTTCAGTTGTTCTAACAGAATTGGACATGGGTTCTCAACCAATATCCATTCCTTGCATCATTAGAGAAGATTTTTGCAGTGACATTGCTGGGTAGTCCAATACTGGGGTGTTCCTTTGTAGTTCTGGTTGTGCCCACAGGTGTAGGAATTCGGGAGGCTCCCCCACCACCCAGGGTCATAACACAGTTATTGGTCAATGTTTATTGCTCACAGGGAATGAGGGTCCAGCCCAGATCACCATTGTGAAGAGTCAAGTAAATTACCACTCAATGTGCAAGCAAAATTCACTTATAACAGTGCAATGATAATATTGACTATTAGAATAGTAATAGCTAAATAATATAATAGTCTGATAATCTAATGCAATAGAAGTAAGATTGACCCAGGTGCAATCAGAGAACTGTTTGTAGAGTTAAAGGTTTTGAGGGAAATGTCACTACTATGAGAAAGGAATGGAATAGCTTCGAGAGATGTATTCTATTGCATGAAGTCTTAACTTTAGAGATGAGTTGAGTAGTAGCAAGCAAACTTCGACTGTTTCAGTGCAAAGGAGGATAACCCAAAACTTTAAAAGTTATTTGTCCACTAAAGTATATATATTTATATTGTTTGTGGTAGAATTAATATTTAATCAAATTCAGTCTATCTGTTATGGAGTGCATGTGGAGCTTATCAGAGGGTTTCTGGAGAAACCCACAGGAAAGCCAGTAGGACTTGGCTTCAGCTTATAGGCTGCACCCTCGGAAGATTGTGTTGTCCAATTTCAGACAGGCAGATGGGAAACCCGGGGAGAGTCCCTGGGAGTAGTTGGTAGGTTGAGAGGTCAGGTGGTGATGGGTCAGAGGTTGAGTGATAGATACATACATAGGTCAGAGCCCGTGGGCTCCAACAAGGTAAATAGTGGTGTGTTCCAAAGAGAGGAATAGAGCAGAAAATGTAATGAGATTACTGGGGGGAATCTAAGCTGATTTTCTGACTGGATTGTATATACAACATCTGCCAGACTATATAGACTGTGGAATGTATGTATGTCATACCAAATCCAGTAATAATGAAATCCAAATTAGTAATCATGAAATGAGATAAGTAAACACCAAATTTGGTGTTAGGAATGGAATGGAGCAGAGCAGAGTCCAAAACGTGACAGGTTGTTAGACCATAACAGGAATGGGGCAGGAGGGGAGTCTGAAATGTGACAGGTCATTTGACCATAATGGGAACAGGGCTCAGTTAGAGAGCTGATGGTTTTTCTGAGTAGAGTCCAGTGACTGATGCGTGGGACAGGGTTGGGAATAGGCAGGGATGACATGTGCAGGGTCTGGGTGGGTATTCCAGTGACTGGTACATGAGATAATGAAGGTCGGGCATGGACAGGTCTGACATCCAGGTTCTGGTAGGTATTCTGGTAAACTGATAACTGGTGCATAAAGGGTGTGGGTGTGTATAGGGTACATGGTTCCTGGAGTCCAGTGAGTTTTCCGGTCGTAATACTATCAGATGACATTCTGGAGAATAAGGAAATATTAATATTTATCTTGTATCTGACAAAAGTTAGTCAAACAAACATACATACTCGAAACTGATGCTTTTGATCATGCCATAGCTTCAATATTTTCTACAAACCTAAACCTTAAACCCAAAAGTCACATGATTTGTTCATGTTCAAGTATATATACAAGGCCTTTTAGCATGCTTGTCCCCACAGTTCACCATGAGCACTGTTCTCCCTACTATTCATGAACACATCATTACTCTGCTCCTCTCTAATGTCTCTGGGCACTCTATTCATCACACCACTGGTGTTAGCATTGGAACTATTTCAAAAATACACTCTGAATACTGTCCTGAGTCACCCAAGTCCTTTAGTGGTCATCCAACTAAACTTACATCTGCCAATATCAGCTATGCTAAGCATCTCATTTGCAGGCAGAGAGCTGATAATGCAGTGCAAGTTACCAAGTCTCTTCAGGATGTCACAAATCAATCGCTCTCCTCCCAAACTGTTCATTGTGCTTTACACAAAGCTGGCCTAAGGCCTGTGGTCAAAAAGAAGTGCCCTTTTCTGTGACAATCTCACAGGAGGGAGAGGCTATAGTGGGCAGAGAGACATCAGGAGGTACACAAACACTTGGGATGTCCTTAATTTCAGAGAGAAGGGATTTATACTGGAAGATTATGGATATTCAGAGTTCCAAAGAGTTCTGAATATTGAGCATACAGAAAGAAGGAAGGAATAAGAAACTAAGTCAATATCAGATCTAAGGTAAAGAACAAATTTGTGGAAACTAATATAAGTTCTTTCATTATTGTACTACAAACTAGGATCATAATAAGATGGATTAGGGTAAGTATTCCAAAACAAAAACACAACAAACAAATGAATGAATACTTGTTGACTGACAAGTTACCAAATGTGGAACAAGGATGAGGTTTGGAAGTATGGGAACTATAAATGTTCCATGGATAGAAGTCAGATTGGAAGTTGGGTTGGAAGTTGGGTTGGAAGGTTAAGGAACATTATGGATAATTACAGAAGATTGAAGTATCCAGGAATGGGTCATAACAATAACACTAGATGAATAGAGAAGCTGATCAGAGTGTCACCAAACAATATAGTGTGGTTTGGCTCAGGAATTGCTGCTAGATTGTGTAATATTAGCATTGTTTTCCAGGGTCAGGTGGTGTAGTGGTACCCTTGCTATATATGCAGAAGCCCTGGGTTCAATTCCCAGTCTGGCCATTCATATTCTACACTTTAATTGCAGGGGTTGACTGTTGAGGCTTAAAAATCTTTCAAACTCTGACTGTGAGAGGTACCCCTTTATGGGAATGTAACTATCCTGTCAAATTATATTCCTGTTACGACCTGTTCCCAGATGTTTCAATATCCGACTTCCGGTCTCCCACTCCCGACTTCTGATCCCCAACTTCCGACTTTTGACCTCCGACTACGGAACATCATAGTTACCATATTATCCGCATTCTTCCCTTGTTCCGCATTTGGTAATTTGTCCGTTGACAAGTATTCACTCGTTTGTTTGTTATATTCCTGTTACGGAATATTGCCTTCCTAATATGTCTTATTGTATTTCCGTTTTAAGAACACTTCCGTTTCCATCTTATTATGGTCTTAGTTTGTAGTACAATAACGAGCAGACTTATATTAGTTTCCGCGAATTTGTACTTTACCTCAGATCTGATATCGACTTAGTTTCTTATTCCTTCTCCCGTCTTTCTGTACGCTCGATATTCGGAACTCTTCGGAACTCTGAATATCCGTAACTCCCATCATAAGTCTCACCTCCGAAATTAAGGACATTGAGCATTTGCGTAGAGGCGCAGCACATAAGCTGAAGCCGACGTCCTGACCCTATCTAGTAGTTCCCGACTTCCCGGTGACTTCCCGATAGTTCCGGAATAAGTTCCCGACACGGCACTTAACAATTCCCTACATTTTTTCCTTATTTTTTACTATTTTTTAAATTGTCTAATTTTCCAATTACATACATTTATATTAGTTTGAAGATCTATGTACAGCTGTGGATACATAGACCTTATGACTGCTTACTTACTTTATAGTTATGTACACTAGTGGGCATAATGAAGAAGCAGACACTTTTTACCCCATAACCACAACTTGCCCAGACACCCCTTTTAGTGTCCTGCAAGTTGTGATTGGGGTATCATCTCAGCCATCTTGAATGGCTTTCAACTCAAACTTGCTACAACTGTCTGGCTTTGCACTGCATAGTCGAAGCTCAAACTACCATCAGCTTCTACTCACATCTTGTGCTAGTCATATCATCCTCTATCCTCCTAACTCATTACTTCATTAACTCACATTTAGAATCATACCATAAGGTTGATCCTATTCTCCCTTAGTCATCTTAGTTATCCTACAGCTGCTTAAGTTGACTAAATTTATTCTACTACGTATATTGTACTTTGATAGTCAATATATTATCATGTCATACCTAGACAGTCAATATTCTTCATATATAGAGCAGTCAGAACTTCCACAACTCTTCACACTGACATTGAATCTCACTGTGTGGGTGCCACACAATGCTGTGAGGGGTGTCACGAAAAGTGGACAATTGCCATGAATATACATTTTGAATGGTAATACTCAAAATACCATTTTACATGATATATGCTCTTAAAAAAGGGGATAATTCACAATTTTAAACATTAAAACCCAGTCTTAAAGTAAATTAGCAGAGTCCCAGTAGACAGATTGATATATTATGAAGAATATATACAAATTACGTCTATTTTATGCTAGTTAAATGCGTATTTGAGGGAATTTTGAGGTGTTCACGCACTCGCGACACCCTGCGCGGCACTTTCCCATGGCCCCCGCTAATTTATAACTTCGCGTTTACTGTGACCAATAAATACTATATAGCATGATGGTGGGAGATTGTAGACTTTCCCTCAAAAATTTGTCTAGCATTCAAGTGGGTGCAAATTTACCAACTTCAGGCTATAGCTATGTTCCTGGTATTTTATTCAGAGACGAGGCAATGTTGACGAAGGGAAATTTTCGGGATTGTGATTGATATTGGAGGGTCATCAAACTGTGACCTTCGCCCGAGCCCTATCCAGTAAATAACCATTTAAGCAACGTTTTATACATCGTATTAAATGATAGTGCCAACAGACATGTCTCTTCTGTAAGCAACTTAAAAACGGCCACTTTTGTGAGGCGATATCAATATCCGAATCTAGAGAGTTCCCGTCGCACGTTATCCAGGCGCTTTTTACGCGACAGAAGCTCTTCCCGTTTTTCCACCACGTTCTTGTCTTCACACAGGTAGGACGCTGCCGTTTTGGGATCGCTGAACCCAAGGCCGAGAATCAGCGCATTCAACAGTCCTCTCGATAGCCGACGAAAGAAGGTATTATCAATAATCATGGGGACGTTGTCGATGATTCGCTGAAAGACAGACATGTGCTCAGCAGGAGATAGCCGTCCCATAGTGAGGATTTACCTTGTATGAAGTCTGATAATAGCTTCTGACTTCAGCGGCGACGGTCATCTCCTCCTCCCATGGATCACTAGGTATCAGCTTCTGGAGGTCGGATGCCTGCACATGGTGCCCGAGCTTAGCCAGTGCCGCAAGGGCCTCTCTTTGGAGTAAGGGGGTAATCCTACTCCCCAGCGTATTTCCATGCTCAGAGTCAGCACGTTCCTCTTGGGAGGATTTCCTCTCGAGGTATTCTGCTCTAACTGCCCTAAAATGCGCTGATTCCGAAAGTGAGCCTCGAAGCACTGCCCATTTGAAATACGCACCCAGAAATTTCCCCCGGCACGTTTGGTAATAGTGGGAGTTCTGAGTGAACGGCGAGAGCTCGCACTCCAGAATTGTGGAAAGGATAGCCTTCGTATTGTTCGTACAGATGTCGACTTGTGCATTGACGAGCTCACTGCTTTCGGGTTAGTACAGGGCCAAAAAAATATACGGATTATCCTCACCGAACTTGAGTCTCCAGATCAAAGAATCGACCAAAATCCTTCTTGATCAGGTCTTTCAGGAAATCGTCAATGCGGTTCTTCACGTCCTCAAAGCAATCTTCGACAGGGGCCTCCCAGGTTTTGGTGAATTCTTCGATTAGGGAAACCTTCGCTGGAAACGGGGTGTTATATGGTAATTCACGGGTTTTGGCGCTAAGGTCGAAGACATCAGTGACGCGAGCACACTAATATGAACGCAGACACTGAGAACTACTGACCGCAGGAGGTGATCCCTAACCTCTTCCAGATAGACCGGCGAGGGCGAGCTGAGTGATTCGGTCTTTTCAGGAAGAGGTTCGTCGCCAACAATCTCTGTGATTTGGCGTGATATATCTGTGTCCTCATTATCATCATCTTTACATTCGAAGGGACGGAAGTCGGGTGCAGAACAACGAATGGCCAGTTTGAACGTCCTGTAGGTTTTAAGATTTTCCTGGACCAGCCGCTCGCAATTTCGCCTCCCTTCAGCGTACCCGTCAAAAGTGGCGCAAAACTGAGTCACAAGGGCCATCAAATTAGACGACGGATCGCCAGAAAGAGCCGGCGGTAGTCTCGCAAGTTGAGAATTTGTTTCGTCAAGCGCTTTACGGACCTCTGCTTGAAGCTGGGGCAAGCTATGAAATTTCGAGGTTATTAGCTTTATACAAATGGTGAAAGGTGTGTGCGCCGTGCACTAGTTACCTCTCATTGATCTTTTCGGAGAGCAAGTTGCTTAGTTTCTCCGTCAATTTCAGTGTCCCAAAGCGGTCGGTGTGAAGCGATGTTGACCATGGCGAGGTGTTCTGAAAGAAGTTAGCCTCGTTCTGCCGGGCCTGGTCAAAGGTGATGTTATTGATGCGGTCCGAGTCTTCCGGCTGACGAGTACAATAGTAGCCGTGCTTCAACACCTGCTTTCTTCCCTCGATGATATCTAGCCATGCCTGCTTGGATCGACTGGCTCCTGCGGTGAGCATGTCGGGTTTGGTCAACACGCCTGATATTAAATGGAATATAGCAAGGTCTATAATATATCACGCATGAAAAGGATCAATACCGATGGTTCTCGATCCTGCGGCATCCTCTCTCTTAGCCAGCAGGGCAGCCTTCTGATTTTCGAGGTCATCTGGCGTAGAGTAATAGTAAGATGGAAGTTTATGTTAGATACCAAGTTATATTGTTCAACTCACCACTCATGGGAATAGTAACTAGGATGATACTGTTTCCCTTTATTTGTTCGGTGACAGTTGACTCTACCAGGTTGATCATATCCTCTTCTGCATTTTGAATAAGACCTGTACGAAAAGTCAATGTAGTAGCCTTCATTCAGCGACTAGCATTTACGTGCCAGGAAGGTCAATAAAAACAAGATCGGTAAGTTTAGGCCCAGATATCGTGATGCAAACGACGTTCTTCGAAAACTTGAGCCCAGACTGTGCACGCAATTCTGCGTCATCCATCGATAAAAAATCGTGGCAGGGCCGTATGCCCCAATTCAAAACGGCAGCCTGTGCTCTTCGAAGGGCTGGCTCGACAGCACTTGTGTCGCAGATGTCTTGGCCAAAGACACAAGTTTCCGGCGCTGGGAGGCGTTTCCCGGCGTCGTCGAATTCAATTCGCAGAGTTATTGTCGCGGACCATTTGCCGTCGGGTTTTGTCTGGTTCAGGCGACACTCCATGGGGCATCTTTGCTAACGCTTGTAAGACCCGCGCACTAGAGGAGGGAATGCTGCATACCGTGTACAAGTTCCACTATCTCGAGGAACATGAATCTGAAATTTGGCAAATGCGACTGGTCGGAAGGATGGGAACGAGATAGCGAGAACTGCTGACCTGTGAAATGGCCTCAATAAGGGAACTTTTGCCGGCGGACTGACTTCCGATGCAAACGATGCGCGGAAGATCAAGCTCTGCTTGAGCGCTGTTCAAATAGGAGAATTTGAGAATGAGTTGCAAAAAAATAAATAAGAAAAAAGTCGTACCCTAACGACCTCAGGGAACTGATGAGTTTCATCAGATCCCCTCGTCTCTAATTCACAGGTTCACCAAAAGAGCTTGGTTATTGTGCAACTAGCAAGACTCACCTTTGCAAAGGAAGTATCGGAGATGGTAACGGTCGTCTGTTGCATTTTGGGGAGCACAAAGGAGAGATTAGGAGAACATTGTATTTTGGCGAGTTTATATAGCGACGAGGAAGTGTTTTAAGGGGAGTCACACCACACCTTTGCATACCTGTGATTATAATA